TGTGGGGGTCGTGGAGTTTGTGGAGGCAAGGCCAAGGACAAGGAGTGGATCTTTGTCAGCAAGCTGGGCTGCTTGGTCAAGGACATGAAGATCAAGTGCCTGGAGGAGATCTGTCTCTTCTCCCTGCCCATCAAGGAGTCTGAGATCATTGACTTTTTCCTGGGGGCATCCTTCAAGGATGAGGTTTTGAAGATTATGCTGGTGCAAAAGCAGACCAGTGCTGGCCAGCTGACCAGGTTCAAGGCATTTTTCGCCATCTGGGACTACAATGGCCATGTTGTCTGGGTGTTAAGTGCTCCAAGGAGGTAGCCACCGCCCTTCGAGGTGCCATCATCCTGGCCAAGCTCTCTATTGTATCTGTGCGGATAGGTTACTGGGAGAACAAGATTGGCAAGTCCCACACTGTCCTTTGCAAGATGACAGGCCACTGCGGCTCTGTGCTGGTGTGTGCCTCATCCCTGCCCCCAGAGGCACTGCATCCTCTCAGCCCCTGTGCCCAAGAAGCTGCTACTATCTAATACCAGAACATTTTCATCACCTTGAAAAGAAATCTTGTACCCATTAGCAGTCACTCCTCATTCCATTCCCCTCTCCCCACAGCCCCTGGCAACGAGTAATCAACTTTCTATGTCTATGGATTTGCCTATTCTGGACAATTCATATAAACTGAACCATGCAATACGTGACTTTTTGTGTCTTTTTGTGACTTTTTTCTTTCCCTTTGCATAATGTTTCTAAGATTCATCTATGTTGTAGCATATATCAGAACTTTATTCCTTTTTATGGCTGAATAATATTCCATTGTATGGATACACCTCATTTTGTTTACCCGTTTATTTATTTATTTAAAAAGATGACCGGTAAGTGGATCTTAACCCTTGACTTGGTGTTATCAATACCACACTCTCCCGAGTGAGCCACAGGCCGGCCCTTACCCATTCATTTATTGATGGACATTCGAGTTGTTTACACTTTTTGGCTATTATGAATAATGCTGCTTTGACCATTTGTGCACGAACTTTTTTTTTTTTTGTCCTTTTTTTTTTTTTGAGACCGGCGGCACTGCGCTCAGCCAGTGAGCGCAGCGGCCATCCCTATATAGGATCCGAACCCGCGGCGGGAGCGCTGCTGCACTCCCAGCGCCGCACTCTCCCGAGTGCGCCACGGGCTCGGCCCTGTGCACGAATTTTTGCATGGACTCTTTTATGTATATTTAAAAACAAATTTTATTGATTTTCTTCAGAATATTCAACTGGGATTTAAATTGAGATTATATTGAAAGTATATATTAATTTGGAGAGCACTGAAATCTTTATAATATGAAATTATCTAATCTAAGAGCATGAAATGTGTCTTCATTTATTCAGATCATCTTTTATACCTTTTAATGAAGTTTTAGCCTTTTTTCCATAGAGATCTTATTTATACCATTTATATTGGTTTTCTATCACTGTATAATATTACCACAGCTTAAAACAACATACTTACAATATTGTTTTACAGTTTCTGTGGGTCAGGAGTCAGGGCATGGTTTAGCTGGGTTTTCTGCTTAGGGTCTCACAAGCTGAAATCAAGGTGTCCACTAGGGCTGACATCTCATGTGAGGCTTGACTGGGGAAGGATCTGCTTCCAAGCTCACTTTGGTTGTTAGTGGAATTTAGTTCCTTGTGGTTATGTGACTAAAGGCTTCAGTTTCTTGCTGGATGTCAGCTGGAGGCCACCCTCAGCTCCTAGAGGCTAGCCTCTAGACCTTGCCACTTAAAGTTCCCCAAACTGGCGACTCGCTTCATTAAAGCCAGCAAGGGAGTGAGAATCTCCTTACAAGATGGTCATTTCGGCCTGATTTTAATATAATTATGTACATGTAATCGCCAGTCATCTTTGGTTATGCACACACTCAAGCATGCGAATACCAGGAGTCGAGGGTCATGGGAAGCACCGTAAGTGGATGTCCATTATACCGATTCTGGGTGTATGATCTTCAGGTCCATAACAGAATGTGTGTGTATAAGGATTTCATTGTCAAGTTGTTTGTAATACTGAAGAGATGGAGGCAGTTAGTCAATGGATTAGATACACCCATGGCAACATAGATGAATCTTTCTTTTCTTAACTTTTAATTTATGTCATGTTACTATATTTTGTTTTAATTCCAAAATGAAAACACTTTTATTGCTTTTACCTGATTATAATAGTAATACACACTTGTAACATTTTTCAGATGACAGAGTAAAATGTGAAGGAGAAAGTCTAAACCATTAGTTATCTTCTCACCCGGAAATAACCACTGTTAACATTTCCTTCCTAACGTTTTTTCCCCTATGGATACACATAGATTTAACCAAAATCTCATTTCCTTTGATGTATCATTTTAAGTGGCTTGAAATCCTTTCTGGAACAATATATGGGTAAAATCTATATGTATGTATGTATGTATGTACCTATGGAAAAACAAGTAGATACAGACAGTAAAATAAAGACAGAGACAGGAGGGAGGTTGAAAAGATGAGGGGAGAGAAAGAGTCAGAGACAAAGACAGACAGATGGGGAGAGGACGACAGCGAGCTATGGGCACGTAAGGACAGAAGGGAAATACAGGGAGCCATGGAGAGATGAAGGTACCAGCAAAGAGACAAGGAGAGGATGGAAAGGAGCATTTTATTGAACTCCTACTGAATGTCATCCTTATTAAATCTTCAACGCCACTCTGAGGGGGCAATTACTAGTAACCCCTTTATCAGGCGAGTGGCTGAGCCTTAGAGTGGTGAACTGAGCTGTGCATGGTCACATCACCTGGATTGAACCCATCTCCCGTAAAGGGCGCCTGGCCCTTAGCAGGCAATCCGTAACTGTTCATCCAACGAACAAAGTCAAATCCGCCTCCCTCCCCTAGGAGAGAGAGGTGGGGATCGGACCCCCATTCTACTCCACTGAGTCAATTTTTCCTGCTCGCGTACTAAGGCAACAGCATGGTCTGTTGCCCTGGCAACCGCCCTCCAACTGCCATGGCAACCGCCAGCGCAGGCTCCAGCTCTCTACCTTGCCCCTTGGGCATCTCCATGGCTACTGGCGGGATGGAGGAGCTGCCAGAGCCCCGAGGCTGCGCCTGCGTGGAGTGGGGGGAGGGGGGTGGGGGG